CAGCATTTGAGTCTCATTCTGTGGAAACTTGTCCCCATTCTACCCCAGGAAAACAGGGTATATGGGGCACAATGAATCTTGGCAGTCTAGTTCAATGGTTCTCAGTCTCTTAGCAGTGTCAGAGTGTCCCACCCTTAGGCTTTGTTTTCCAAGGTGTGCTAAAGGCAGGGACAGGATGTGGATTCTGTACAAACACAATAGTCCAGTGGAATCTAGTATAAGGAAACTGTAGCAGACCGGTGGTGGTGGCTGGTGCACACCTTTAATTCTAGCACTTCAGAGGCAGAGATAGGCAGGCAGGCAGATATCTCAGAGTTCAAGACCAGCCTAATCTACAGAGGAGAACAGGCTCCAAAAGCTACAAGGAGAAACAGTGTCTTGAAAAACCAAACCAACCAAACAAAAACAACAACAAAAAAAAAAAAAAAAAAAAAGGAAGAAAGAAAAAGAAAATTGTAGCATCCTGTGATATGGAAGAGGCTTGCAGTATGAGTGCTAAGCTCACAGGTTCTCATTTTAATGATTTACTTATTTCGTGTGCATCGGTGTTTTGTATGTTTGTCTGTGTAAGGGTGTAGGATCCCCTAGAACTGGAGCTAGACATCAGTTGTGAGCCACCATGTGGTTGCTGGTAATGGAATCCAGGTTCTCTGGAAGAGCAGCCAGTACTCTTGTTCCCAAGTCGTGAAGATCCCCAGAGACCACCAGATGATGATGGCTTGGGTTGGCTTTTATGTTTTTGAGATAGGATCTTACTACATTGTACGGGCTGACCTAGGCTCCTCCATCCTCCTTCAGCCTCCCCAGTGCTGGAATGATGAGCCTGAGTCACCATACCCAGTCTTAGATAAAAGCTATGGTAACAGTAAATCATGGAGAGAGGGGAGAAAGGAAGGGACAGAGGACAGAGAGAAGAGAGAAGAGGGTGGTGGTAGTGAGCCAACATGGAGCCCAGGGAATATGACCTCAGAGGAAGGGGAATCAAGAGTTTAGTCTTGGACATCAAGATTATAGTATTGGGGGCTGAGGACATGGCTTAGTGAGTGGAGTTTTTTGGTCCCTAGAAATATGGTGGCATGTGCTTGTAAGCCCAGGGCTGGGGAGGCAGAGAGAGAAGGATCCCTGGACCTGAACCAGTGAGCACTGGGCTCATTGAGAGAGTATGTTACAAAGAAAAAGTTGGAGCCAGTCATGGTGGCACACACACACACACACACACACACACACACACACACACACACACACACAGGCAAATGTGAGAGACAGCCAGGTAGAACAGAACAGAAAGTCCAGAAGGCCCCAGATGTGTATAGAGACTGTAGTTGAGAAAAGAGTGGTCTGTGAAATGATTGACGTTGGGATGTCTCGATGGGCTGGGGACAATGCTTGATAGAGTGCTTTTCTAGCATGCATGAAGCCCCGAGTTCACACAGTACCACATGAACTGGGTAGAGCAGTTCACAGTGTAACCCTAGCACACATGAGGGGGTGGATCAGGAGTCCAACTTCATCCTTCACTACACAGCCAGTTTGGAGACAGCCTTGGTGGCATGAGCCCTGTCTCCAATATGCATAAACATGAAAGTTGAGAGGAGAAGAGTAGGGAAGAGGGAGAGGGTCAAAGGGAATGTAAAGAGGACGAGAAAGGGTAGAGAGGGTGAATAGGACCAAGATACCTTACATACATGTATGAAAATGGCATGAGATCCATTATTATAATTAACATATACTAATAAAACTATAGTAATATAAATATAAAAAATTTAAAGAAAGAAATTTAAAGACCATGGAGACTATTGCCCTCCTCAGGCACCTGGAGTGTGTGACTTCCTGATGGGGTCTGACTGTGTGCTGTCACCGATTATGTGGCAGGGCCTGATCACACCTGATGAGAAGGAAGTGTCTGCAAACACCGATCAGCACAGCTGACAGATCAAGACAGTGATGGGCAGAGGTAGGCAGATCTCTATGTTCAAGGCCAGCCTGGTCTACAGAGTACATTCCAGGCCAACCGGGCCTACCCAGAAAAACCCTTTCTTGAAAAGAAAAAGGAGGGGCAGTCTTTTAAAATTTTTGTTTAGATTTGTTTGTGGCTGTGAGTATTTTGCCTACATGTGTGCGTGTGTACCACATGTGTGCCTGATGTCCAAGGTCACAAGGCATCAGATCCCTAGAACTGGAGTTATAAATGGTTGTGAGCCACCATATGGTTGCTGGGAATCGAACTTCAGTCCTCTGCAAGAGCAACAAATGCTCTTAACTATTGATCCATGTCTCCAGGTCCCCTCAATGACATGTTTTGGTTTTTTTTTGGGGGGGGGACAGGGTCTCTTTATGTAGTTCAGGCTGTCCTGGAACCCGCTATATCAGACTGGCCTCTTGAACTCACAGAGGTTCTTCAGCCTCTGTCTCCCATGTGCAAAAGATTAAAGGCCTGTGCCACCATGCCTGGCTTTCAAAATGGCATTCTTTTTTGTTTTGTTTTGTTTTTCAAGACAGCGTTTCTCTGTATTGCTTTGGAGCTTGTCCGGATTCAAGGCTGGCCTTGAACTCACAGAGATCCACCTGCCTCTGCCTCCCGAGTGCTGGGATTAAAGGCATGTGCCACCAATGCCAGGCCCCAAAACATTCTTAATATGAATTTTAAGAGAAAGAGGTATCAGGCAGAAAGTAAGACCACAGACCATGGGTGTGGGCTTCTCAAGGAACAGTCTCTCTCCCTTGTTTTTAAGAGTCATATACGTCATTGTGGTGGGGGTTGGAGTTATTATTATCCTCTAAGCAGTGGTTCTCAACCTTCCTAATGCTGAGACCGTTTAATACAGTTCCTCTTGCAGTAACCCCCAGCCATAAAATTATTTTCGTTGCTACTTCATAACTGTAATTTTGCTACTGTTATGTGTATATATCTGTGTTTTCTTTTTTCTTTTTAGTTTGAGACAGGGTTTCTCTTTGTAGCTTCAGAGCCTGAAACTCGCTTTGTAGACCAGGCTGGCCTTGAACTCACAGAGATCCACCTGCCTCTGCCTCTGCCTCCCGGGTGCTGGAATTAAAGGCATGTACCACCACTGCCCAGCAAATATCTGTGCTTTCTGATAGTCTTAGGTGACCCTTGTGAGACCACAAGTTGAGAACTGCTGCTCTAAGGTTGCTAAGGAACCTAAAGAAAATCCTGAGTAGCATCTGGCAGCATTACTATTGACAAGGTAAAAACTCCAGCTCTGAGGGATTCAGGACGTTGAGGCATCTTCACTGCAATGGAGGTTAACTGTCTTGTCTGAGATTCCCGGAAAATATCTAGGAGAATGAGGTCCCACTCATGGTCATACACATTGCAGCCCCATGCCTGGTTCCTGGCTATTTTAAGATAACATATCTTTATAAAGAAGGGATATTATCTCTGTGTTGGCCACCTTCACAGCAAATGCCAGCTGTGTTGGAGTTCTTGCTTCTCAGCTGGTGAGAGGCATCAACTATGCTTGGGGGAGGGGCCTGTCTTTTCTCACATCTTGGTAATTTCCCCTCCTTGTATTCTGCCTCACAAAGAACCAACTGTCTCCTCTCTGTCAGCCAGCAGTATCAGCAACAAATCTGCCAATGCAGTTTCAGAAACTGATGGGAATCTTAGGTGTATTTCACATAGCCCCTGCAAGGGCAGCTTTTCCTCTGGTTCAGGTTGTCTCCTGCATGGTAGCCTTTCTGGGCTCCAACTCAAAGATCCAGTATTAGAATCTCTGTCAGTATCTCTTTCAGCTTCCCAGCTTTGTGGCCATTTCTTCTAGAGTCACATAACCCCTCAGGGAAGATGAGTTAAAGAGAAGATGGAGTGTGCAGGATTTCTTCTTGATCTCCCTCTCTGTTCATTGCCCTCATCATACTTTCCTGCTAAGTCACCGTTGTGTTTCCACAGAATAGAACTGATCTTGCCCCTTCTCATCCCTCTGTTCCTTCCCTTCTGGGCACCGAGGATCCTCCTCTTCCCCAGTGCTGTGACTACAATAGGCCTGGCTTTGTTTATTTATTTTAAAAATATGGGTTCTGGAGATGAAACTCAGTGAGTACCGACTGAACTGTGTGTGTCTCTAGTCCCCTCCCCCCTTTTTAATTTTTTTTTTTTTAATCTTCTGAGACACCATGTCTCCCTATGCTGCCAGGCCCAGATAAAGTGTAAAAAAACTACTACTTTTATTATTTTTGGTGCTGAGGGAATCCAGGGAATTGACAAGAGCTTTAGCTTTGATTCTATCCCCACCAACTGCCCCTTCTGACTGTGTAGCCTTGGCTGGCCTGGATCTCACTATGTAGGTCAGGCTGGCCTCATAGTAATAGAGATCCTCCTGCCTCTGCCTCCCGAATGCTGGGGTTAATGGCCAGTAACACCATGACCAGTTGGTCATGACCTTGGCACTTTAGATTACACTACATCTTCACTCTGTGTGTGTGTGTGTGTTTGGAGGTCAGAAGACAACTGGTGGGAGTTGGTTTTCCTTCTGCCATATGAGTCCTGGGCATCAGACTAAGGTTATCAAGTTTTACAACAAGTCTTTTACCGTAACTCTGAACCGTCTCACTGGCCCTATTTTGGTTTTGGAGACAGGATGGCATGTATCCTGAATTTCTGATCCTCCTGCCTCTATCTCTCGATGCTGGGATTGTATATGCATGCTCCCCGACAACAGGGACTCTTACAATTTAATCTGGATTCGAACTCCCTAAGAGACGAAGATGGCCTTAAAGTCCTAATCCTCCTGCTTCACCCTTCCTAAGGCTGGAAGACAGGCGTGCCTCTCCAAGCCCGGATTTACAAACTTTATCATGCTGGAATTCTCGGAGCTACATTCCACCTGCCCCGCCCAGATTAGCTGCCAGAATCCCGCCGCAGGTGCCCACGCCACCAAGAGTTGCCCCAGCAACTGCCCGCTCCCTCAGCTCCGAATGATGACGCCAGTATCCTGCGCCCTTCCGTGCGGCAGCCATTGGCTGGCTGGAAGACGGACGCAGGTTCTGTCCAATGGACAGCGCTACTCTTTTGAGGGCGGGACGGCGCGGAACCTGCAGAGCTGGTGGTGGAGGCTCGTGGCCGAGGCGTGCGAGAGTGGGCGCTTCAGGTGCGTGATCGAGGGGTACAGGGGTGGGTCCGAGCCTTTGGGAAGATGGTGTCCTGAGCCCCGGCGTGCGTTTCTGCTCGGCCCTCCACGTGGATCCCCATAGATCCGTCCAGCCATCCACCTACCCATTTACCCCTATGGATACATTCATTCACTCATCCATTCGCCCACCCCTCCACCTACTTATCCATGCATCCACCTCTCTTCCCACTTATCCACCCACCCACCCACTCATCCGCATCTTGCACTCATCTACCCACTCACCCATTTTCCCATGCATCCAACATCCAGTCCTTCCATTCATCCATCCTTACAAGTTTGGTGTGGTGGTATGTGGCTATGATCTCAGCATCCCGGAGGCTGTGACAGGAGAATTGCTGCCAGCTCCAGTCCAGCTTTGTCTACCAAGTGAGACTCTGTTTCAAAATGCATTTCAAAATGAAAAAAGGAGCCGGGCGTTGGTGGTGCACGCCTTTAATCCCAGCACCCGGGAAGCAGAGGCAGGGCGATCTCTGTGAGTTCAAGGCCAGCCTGGTCTACAGAGCTAGTTCCAGGACAGGCTCCAAAACAATACAGGGAAACCCTGTCTCGAAAAACCAAACCAACCAACCAAAAAAAAAAAAAAAAAAAAAAAAATGCAAAAAGATCCTTTGGGTTCCTTTTATGTACTGGCATCACTAAAGGCTTTTGAACAATAATAGAGGACAGAATAGGAATCCCAGATTTATGAGCCCAAGTTCTAGACTGGAAAAGATCACATACTAGTGGTCTTGGTTGCCACGGAGGCAACCTTAAGGAGTCTATTCTTTTTCATGACCCTGTTGAGGCATAGTCTTTCTGGATTCTACTGCCCAGTGTGTAGCCCTGTGTACCCCAGGCTTATTCTCCTGTCTCCACCTCACATCTCACCGTCGGAAAGGTGAGATGACAGATTTTTATGTAGGTCCTAGGAATCGAACCCAGGTGGTCAAGCTTATGTGGCAAGTGCTTTTTCCCATTGAGTCTTTTCCTGCCCCTGTCTTATAGTAGCTGATGCATAAAGCAGTGTCTCTGGTTTTCATTTCCTAAACGACTAGTGAAGTTTGGCATCTTTTCATGTGCTTTATTGTCTGTTCAAGACCTTAGCTCATTCTAAAACTAGTGTGTGTGTGTTTGTATATGTGTGTGCATGCATGCATGTGTGTGTCCATACATGTCTGTATATGCATGTGTGTGCATGCCTGCATATGCTTATGTGTGCATGTGTACATTCAAATGTGTGAGTGTGTGCGTGCCAGTGCCAGAGGTCAACCTTACATGATGTTCTCCAGAAGCTCTCCACCTTGTATTTTCATGGCAGGGTCTCTCACTGGCCTGGAACTCACTAGTTAGGCTAGGCTGGGATGGAACTCAGGTTGTCAGCCTTAGTGGCTAGTGCCCCTACATGATGAGCCATATTGCTTCCCCTCCCCCCAATTTCTTTTACTGTGGGGTTTCAAGCATTCTCCTTAGGCTCTGCACATGGATTTCTTGTTAGGCATGTGATTGGTAGACATGCCCTCTGACCTTTCAGTTGTCTTTACTTTTTTGCTAGCACTGTTCACTTGTTAGAAGCTTTAAAATTTTGTTTTATTTATTTATTTGTTTTTTTTTTTTTTTTTTTTTTTTTTTTTTTTGGAAAAAGATTTCTCTGTGTAGCTCTGGCTGCTCTGGCTGTCCTGGAATTCCTTTTAAGTGCTGGGATTGAAGGTGTCCAGCCAATTTTTTTTTAAAAAAAATTGCTCATTTAGTGTGTGTGTGTGTGTGTGTGTGTGTGTGTGTGTACCAGAGTAGATGTATGTGTATTGTGTGTGTAGGATCCCATGGAGGTCAGAAGAGTCATCAGATCCCCTGGAACTGAGTTCCAGGCAGTTGTGAGCCACCATGTGGGTGCTGGGAACTCACCCAGGTCCTCTGCAAGAGTAGTAGTAAATGCTCTTAACTGCCGAGCCGTCTCTCCAGCCTCTTTATATACTATTTGTAATTGTGTGTCTGTCCAGAGGTATTAGGTCTGGATCTAGGGTTATGGGCAACTGTGAGCTGCCTGATATCAGTTCTGGGAATTGAACTTGGGTTTTCTGCAAGAGCTCTTAACCACCAAGCTTCTCTCCAACCCAAGGGCAGAACTTTGTAGCTATGATGTAGTCCAGCTTATTGGTATTTTATCAGGGAGACCACAGTGTTTTCCAGGGCAATAAGGGTTCATCCCTGGAAATTCTAAGAATCTTAGGCCTGGCCTGTTAAAGTGGTGCACACCTTTAATTCCAGCTCTCGGGAAGCAGAAGCAGCCAGAATGCTGTAAGTTCAGGAAACCCTATCTAAAAAAGGAAAGAAGGGAGGGAGGAAGAAAGAAAGGTGAGCTCTTTTACAAGTGAGGTTCTTACACATCTTTCCCCTTGGCTCACCTGCTATCCTCTCCAGCTCTTAGTGAGATTGCTCTTTGAGTTATTTTGGCACTGTTGTTGAACATCACTTGACCCCAAACAAAAATATATGTTTCTCTTTCTTTCTTTTCTTCCCTTCCTTCTTTTCATTCTTGTTTTTCAAGACAGGGTTTCTCTATGTTTAACACTCCTGGAACTCGCTCTGTAGAACAGGCTGGCCTCAAACTCACTGAGATCCAAGTGCTTCTGCTTCCCAAGTACTGGGATTAAAGGCATGTGCCACCACCGCCCAGCTTAAAAGCAGATGTTTCCTAAAACAGACCACTCATTGCCTGGTTGTGAATTGCTCTCTTAGAACCTGTGATGTAGAATCACCTTTTTCTTCTTTTTTCGCAAATAGACTCCGTGATTAACTTTTTAATGCTAACTTCCAGGGTAACTGCAGACCTGGATTCTCTCCTAAGCAGTGTGTAAATATTTGCTGAAGTTTTCTTATTTTTCTAACGAGGTAATTGGCTGGCGTCACCACCCCTATTTTCAGTGCCCCTGTGTCAACAGTCTCTCCTTTTATGATTTCTTATTATACTGCTAATTGAAAATTGTAATTGTAGCCTCTGGCTTTAAGTATTTTTTTTTTTTAAATGAGGAGGCTTAATAAAAAAAATAATATATACAGAGAGAGCTTGGCGTTTTCTGATTCTAGAATAGTAATAGTCTTTCTGTGTGCCATAGTCAAGGTCAGCCCCAGTCGGGACAGGGATGCCCTGATGCCTGCCCACCTGGGCTGAAGGTTCACAGCACATGCCCCAGGCCCCACCTCACACTTATATGCCTGCAGATTTGTTCTCTAGGGGTGTTCACCCTTCTAGAGCTCTTCTATTTTTCCCATTATGCTTAGCCTCCGAATTGAAATTGGAACCTTTTGTATTAACTGCTGAGTTGATCTCTAGCCCTATAATTATTCTCTTTCTGGTGGTTCTCACTTGTGTGTGTGTTCTAAGCCAACCTTCAGTGTCTTAATGCCCTTCATATCTCTGCCTCCTGAGTGCTGGGATCACAGACTCGTGCCACTGTGTCCTGAGAGGCAGGCTCCTTCTGTGCAGTGCAGGCTGGCCTGACACTTGTGACTTTCCTCCTGCTTCAGCTTCCCAGCTGCAATCACAGACATGTGCCACCATCCCTGGCTTGCAAGTTGCTTTTACATTCATGTTTGTTTTTTTTTTTTTTTTTCCCTGCTGTAGGAGGAGACAGACCTTATGATTATTAGAGTTGTCTCAGTGTCACAAATCTAGCTTCATTCAGTCCTTAAGAATGGCTTGGGGCTCTGCACCAGCTTGGAGGACACCTCAGGCCCCTCAGAGCCTTTCAGCCTCTCCACCCATGGATGGAGCATAATACTGGTCACAGCTTGTGTAGGGATGTGTCGTAACCTAGATTTGGAGAGAATGGAACTGTCCTTTAATGTGTACTGATCAAGCAATAGGCAGAGCTCTGCCTTTGGAATCTGATGACAGTCAGTAAAGATGGTGATGCTCTTGTTCTTTTTCGTTTCTTCATTTCTCTCTCTGTCTCTTTCTCTAGATAGGGTCTTTCTACTGGCTGTTCTGAACTCCCTATGTAGGCCAGGCTAGCCTAGAACTTCTGGAGATCCCCCTGCCTCTGTCTCCCAATGTGCCCTCTTTTTTTATACATATAATTTATTTTTATTTTATGTGCATTGGTTTATATGCATTGATATTATGCCGGCATATTTTTCAGTGTGAGGGTGTCAGATCTGGGAGTGACAGTTGTGAGCTGCATGTATGGGTGCTGGGAATTAAACTCTGGATCTCTGGAAGAGCAGTCAGTGTCCTTAACTGCTGAACCATCTCTCCAGTCTCCAGCTGTTACTCTTAATCTTAAAAGCCAGTGTTGCTGTTGAGTTAGAAATACCACCTAAATATCACCTCAGGCATTGTGGCCTGCCATCGGGGTGAAGGTTGTAGGATCACAAGTTCAAGTTCCAGCTGGGCTGCAGAGTGAGCTCAAGAGGCCAGCCTGAGTCGTTTAGTAAAACCCTGTTTCAAAATCAAAGGGGAAAAAAAGTTATATCCAGGTGATATAATCTGTGGAGTCACAGTCATGTTAAAGGGGAATTCCTGGAAGACAGTGGCCATGATGATCCACAGCGGCAAGCATGTGTTTCGACCTTCTTTTAACTTATGTGTGTTCATGCATGTGTGCATACATGCTGTATGTTCATGTGTGTATACACACATGAGCATGTGTATTTGCAGGCGAAAGGACCATCAGGTATCTATATTGATCTTTTTTTTTTTTTTTGAGACATAGTCTGTCGCTGAACCTGGAGCTCACCAATTCCACTAGGCTGGCTAGCCAGCAAGCCCGAGGGGTCCTCCTGCCTCCATCTCCCCTGCGCTGGCTTTGCAGGTGTGCAGTGCTACCCCTGACTATTTTTTTCTCCTCGTGGATTCTGAGGCCCAAGCTTAAGTCCTCCTGGCTGCACAGGAAGCACTTTATCAGCAGCCATGGCCCTGGTTAGCATGTTTTATTTAAACCTCCTTTTGTGTTATACTGGGCAACTGTCCTCTCCACTGTTTAACAGCATGGCACTTTGTGGCACAAGGTCTCTTCCTTCCTACCGTCCACCCACCCATGCCATCTCTTCCAGGATGGTAAAACATAAGCGAAAAGGTCTCGGAGGGACAGAGCAGAAGAGTAAAAAGCAAAAGCTAACACCAGAAGAGACACTGCGGGCATCCGAAGCCAGGCCAGGCAAGGAGGCGGCCAGCCCCAAGGTAAGTGACTCTGCGAGAACATGCTTGGTGCTTACCTGAGCAGTTATGAGACAGGAGTTTGGCTGCTGTGTGGGTTCCCAGGGAGCGTCTTTCCTTGATGTGTGCATAGGGTGTGGTCCAGGTACTTATGCCTAAAAACTCAAGTCTAGGGGCTGGGCCATTTCTCAGTGGTAGAGTGCTTGCCTCGCATGTGGGAAACCCTGATTTTAATACTCACTGAGAGACGGTATGAGCAATGTTAAATGTTGTGTGGGTTTGTTTTTCACCCTATAACATACATCTGCTGAGTGTGTACAGATACGTTGAATTGCAAACTTTTTGTACTTGTTTATATATTCATGTATGCACTTTCACGGTGCGTGTATTAAGGTGTCAGAGGACAACTTGTGGAATTCAGTTCTCCCCTTCCACCAATATGGGATTGATTTGAACTCAGGTCATCGGCTTGGCAGCAAGCTCCTTTACATGCTGAGTCACATTGCTGGCCACAGATGTTTCAGTTTTAACATTTCTAATGTTTTTGTTACCTGCAAAGTTCTGGCTAGTAAACTCTTTCGTTGACAGTAATTCAATTTAAAATTAGTTGCTTACTGCGGTCCAGACATTGTCAGACGCTACTATTCCAGGTTTGTCAGTTAACACAAAATAACCCTGATGAGATGCACGAGTGACGATATGGCTGGGCTTTGTGGGACTTAGTGCTCTCATTATGTAACTCTGGCAGGCCTCAAATTTGCAATCCCATTGTCTCTGCTCCTGAGTGCTGGGATTATAGGTGTGTGCTATTACCCCTGGCAAGATGGGCATGGAACCCAGGGGCTTTCCCATGCTAAGCAGGAGCTCAACAGCACAGCCCCATCTTAGGCTCCTAGCCTTCCCTCCTCACACTATCCACACATTTGCAGGCACCTCATGTTCGAGAGGGACTGCTTCAGCATTGTGCTTTGTTTTTCCTCCTTGTGAAGAAAGCATGAAGTGATCTGGGTATGTTTTCTTCAGGTCTTTATTATGCTACATCTTAGTCTGATTCAGAGCCGGGAGTTTCCAAGAGCGCCACAGGCTGTATTTGCTTTCCTGGCTACAGGTGTTAGGAGGCAGGAGCACTGGGCTGTTCCATGGGTCTTAGGAGGAGGCCGGGTGCACTGGTCTGCCTCTGAGGCAGTGACGTTCTAGTGGCCTGGCCAGGAGGGGACTGGCCAGGAGGGGTTGTCAGCCACACTCCTGCTGAAAGGAAGTGGGAGTCTAGGGTGCGGTCCTCAGCTGGCAGGCATCGTGGCCACTGTGACTTGGGACTGTGGCTTGGGGACTTAGGTTTTTAGGTCTCCTCCTCATGTTTCCTCCAGCATACAGAATGAGGCCCCTCTCTGCCTAAGAATGCTGATCTCTGTGGATAGAAACATTTCTTCCTTCCGCTCTCATGGGAAATTGTTAGAAGGATGTGTCAGGCATATCTTTTAGAGGGAAATTAGGGAGAGCTGAAGATAAGTGTCCAAAAAGGATGGGTCCCAAGGCCTGCAGCGCAGTGGTCCGATCACCCAGGAACTTGTGGAAAAGTACTATGCTGGCCCAGTCCTGTCCTCTTGTGGCTCCAGATGAACCTCTGGACTCAGCATCAGGCAAGGAAGAAGCCCCTGTCCCTACTTGGGCCACTCCATTCTTGTCCCAGAAGTATCCATGTGGGGAGCTCCCAGGGCCTTCACAGTCACTTCCCACAGCTCAGTGCTCTGTGCCGGAGCCAGGACCGCCCAAGTGTCCCCAAGTGCTGGGAACTTCATTGCCCCTTGGGGAGCGGTTTCCATGGAGCTCAAGTTCCACTTGGGGCTCTGGGTCCTGTGGAGCTGCTGCCTGCTTGGGCCATGGCCCACTGGGTCCTGGTGCCGAGGCCTGGAGTGTATGGGCACCTTGCCCCAGCCTCTGTTTATGAGGCCCTTACCCCGAGGCCCTGGAGAAGTGGGTGGTTGTGATGCCCCTGCACAGGGAAAGAGTTCAAAACACCCTACTGGGCATCTTGGAACTGGTCCTATTTCCTGACTGCTGGTTGGAGAAGGTTCTGATCCTGTTGCCTCCCTCTTTCTAAATTCCCTCAGGGAACACACTTGTGGGCCTTGGTGAGAACTGCAGTTCACAGCAATTCCCTATGCTTAACGATGCCCTGGACCCGAGGTGTCTTGTCCTTGTCTGCTGTAGGCAGAAGCCCTTCCTGGAGCCTAAGCCCCAATCTCTGCCTTTGTCCTTCCCGAAAGACTTCTTACAGCAGAGAGCTGCAGAGGAATCTGTGGGTAGCACTTGCACTTGGGAAGGGTTGGCGGGACCCCAGGCTGTACCACACTAACTTGCCTGGCACCCATTTGAGGTGGGACAGGCAGGCCAGTAGGTGGCTGTGTCTCTGAAGATGCCACCTTCCCTCTCTGTGAACACTGGTGAAGGCTGGTGGCAGTAGCTCAGATGTGGAGATCAGACTGTCCCACACTGACTGTGAGGCCAGATGCACAGTGATGAGTCACTGGAGAAAGGAATAGAGCACGCCTTCTTTCTTTCTGAGGCTATGCAGCTAGGCCAAGGGTGATAGTAAAACACTTGCTCTGGCTTTGCAGGCATGTCTGTTTACCATCCCAGGAGTCTTCTTCTCCCCCCACCCCCCCCAAAGACAGGGTTTCTCTGTGGCTTTGGAGGCTGTCCTGGAACTAACTCTTATATTATGCTGGTCTTGAACTCACAGAGATCTGCCTGCCTCTGCCTCCTGAGTGCTGGGATTAAAGGCGCTTGCCACCACCGCCCGGCCATCTGAGGAGTCTTGACTGAGTTTGTTTCCTCTGCTAATCAAGGACTTAAAAGTCAGGAAAAGCCTGAGACGCGTCAGGGCAGCCACGGGTAACAGGCTTTATTATAAGTGATGGAGGTGGGAACTCACGTGCACATACAGCACAAAGAATATGTGTACAGCTGGCCAGCTAGTGGCATCCAGGTCCCCAGGGGCGCCTTTCTCATCCATGGTAGGGCTTGGGCTGCACGGAAGCCATCAGAGCTGCTGGTTCTGCTGCTGGGCTGTGGCCCTTTAGAAAGTCACATTCGTCATGTGGGCAAGCAGCCTGTGGTTTCTTAGGAAGCCATCCAGAAGGACTTGGGAACTTTATGGCCTGGAAACTGCCCAAATCCTTCACGGCCATGGTAAGACAGTGACTGGCCAGCTTGGGTTTTGTGGCTGGACGCTCACCTGTGGGTGAGTGGTGCCTGGGGCGGGGGGTCACATCACTTGTCCTAAGGGAGAGGCTGGACAATGGCGAGAAGCCCAAGCTAGCCTTTGAACTAATGGGACCTAGAGTCTGATTCATCATCACTCTACATACCAGACTGCGTGGGTCCCTCTGGGCCGTTTGCTGTGGGAGGTCTTGTCTCCCTCCTCTGCTCCCTGACTGCACTGTCTTCTCTATTTGTTTTGCCCTCAGTGGCCTCTGGCACCAGCTCTGCATGGTCCCACACATATGTTTACCCACAAACCAGGTTTGGGGTCTTGGGAATTATGCTGTAGGCATCAATGTGAGTCTCCCTGCACTTCATCTCTCCAGGAGACTCCAGCACTAGGGTTGTTGTATTGTGTTGTGGGAACCCTTGACAGTAACAGTGTCACTGAGTACCCAGCAGGATGAATGGGGCACTTCGAGTGGCAGCCCCTGCCCTGTCTTAAATTACAGTCCTTCCTGTGGGTGTGCCTTTATCTTATTGTGTGCTTATTTCGTTGTTGATTCAGACAGTCCTGTGTTAGCCTCCCAGTTGCTGGGATTACAGGCATGAACCACCTTGATTGGTTGTACATGTGGTTATCAATGTTCAGTTGAGAAGCACAGCCCTAGTTCAAGGACATAGTTTGGCTTGTTGCCTAGTGTACATAAAGCCTCGGGTTCCATCCCCATCATGGCATAAACTAAGGGTGGTGGTACAAGCCTGTAATCCTGTCAGCACCCAGGAGGTAGAGCCAGGAGGATCAGAAGATCAAGGCTATCCTTGGCTACATAGCAAGTTGGAAGCCAGCCAGGATTATATGAGATCCTGTCTCAGGGAAGAATGACTCTCCATCGGTGAGCCCCCTGATATCCAGTTAGGGTTATAGTCCAAGTGGTCATCTCTAAACACATGTGTGTGTGAGCAACACTAAGTGGACTGACTCAGCAGGATGTATTTATACACACAAATGTGTATCCATGTGTACGTGTGGGACAGCAATGAAGAAAATGTTATGGCGTTGAGAGGGGGTGGGATGGGGTGTATCCCTGGCTGTTCTGGAACTTGATCTGTAGACTAGGCTGGCCTTGAACTTACAGAGAACTTACAGGAGGCCTCTGCCTCCTGAGTGCTGGGATTAAAGACATGCATCATCACAACTAGCCAGTTTTTATTTTTGTTTTGTTTGTATAGTATTGGGATTGAACTTAGGGTATTGTGTGTGCTAGAGAAGTTAGCCACACCCCTAACTCCTCACTGGGGCATTCTAGGCAGGTGCTCTACCTCGTACCTGCTTTAACCACCGTAGCAGACTGGTGGCTGCATCTGGCTAGGGGCTATGGTTTGTGTTTCTGAAGTCCCAGGTGTGGAGCCCTCTAAAGCCAGGTGTCTTTCTTGCTTATGTCTGCACCCTCTAGCCTTCACCCAGCTCTGCTGTGTGCTAGTATAGGCAGTGGGTCCTGCCCTATAGAATCCTTGGACCCTAATTGTGGACAGCCCAGTGGTTGCCCTTGGAGGAAAGGATGGTCTAGCCTGTGTTTCTCAGTAGCCACAGAAGTCTGGCTACATGCCTCCCAGCTTGATAGGGCTGTGCTGGCTTGGAGTTGGAAGGAGTGAGGGCTGAGTGTCACTGCTGTGGTGAAGGTTGCCATGGGTACTGTTCTCATAGGGCTCCCAGGAGATGTGGGGTCTGAGTGGGTCTTCAAAGAGTGTCACAGCAGCATGTGTGTCTGCTTAGGACTGAACACCAAGAGGGTGGTTTGTTCGGAGTCTGCATATTC